ATCGGGATGTCCCATGCAAAGCACAGACCAGGAGCCCCAACAGGGAGGCCAGGGCTTGGGGAAGCAGGGCTAGTGGTTTGCTTTCTGAGGACCCAGTTGGGCTCTAGGGCCCTGCAGGGCTTTCGGATCACTGGACCCTTTTGTACCCTAACTCAGTTGCTGCATCTGATTTCTGGAAAGTAGATACTTCTGTGTACTGAATTGGGCCCCGCTTGCACGTCCACTCCATCAACGCACTCGCTGTCTGGGCTCAGTGGCTACAGGAGCCTAGGAAGGAGCCAACCAGCCTGCACAGTGGTGGCTCTGGGTCATTCTGGCTATGCCCCCTGGGGCCCTAGGTTAGGGGCAGGAATGTGCAGCCGTGCCTGCAGGGTCCCCTGCTCCTCGGCTGGGTCACCAACAGCTTCTGCACCTCTACTGAGACCCTCACCCACTGAACGTAAACTGTCTGTTTAGATATAAAATGATGCTCAGAGGAGAAATGAGGAACTTAATAGGATTTAAAAAGCCGTAGGACCCGATGGAGCTACAGATGGTGGAGGGTGGGAAGGACTGGATCAGCCATAGTTGATGGCGGAGAACAGGCCCTCGGGGAGGGCTGGGCAGTGCGTCACATGCATAGCGTCCAATCTCATTAGCCAGCCCAGCGGGACTCCACTGCCACAGCAGCGTGTGGCTGCGGTAAGGGCAGCGGGCACCCTGAAGATGTCGTTGATAGCAATGGAGCAGCCAAGGGCGGTAGGAGCACGGGGTGGCGAAGTGACTCAACTGGAGGCCACTTCGCTCAGGGGTCTGAGTGGAAATGGGGTAACTCACAGTCTCTTGTACCTGTGCTGGCCCTGCCCCTGCTGGGCCTTCCTCCTGCAGCCCAGTGCTGGGCAGACACAGAGATGGGGAGAGACACAAAACTGGGCAGGCAGATGACAAGCAGCCTCCCCAGCCTGAACATGGGGGAGGCAAATAGGAGCTTCTCCCAGCCAATTCTGCCATAGAGGTGACCCCATCCAGACAAGTATGGCAGCCAGTCCTGGGGGGTCTGGGGTCAGGGAGACCTGTGCTGGTTGGCCCTGGAAGACCCTTCCAGTCCTGCTCATACCCTTCTGCCTCTGGGCATGGTGAACTCGTGCCTGGGCTGCTACCACAGGTACCTCTTGGATCAGGCCTTTCTGTGGCTTCTCATGCAGTTCATGAATAAAAAGAGACTGCAGGTGCTCACAAGACAGCTGGTGATGGAGACACAAAGTCCTCACAACCAGCCACCATCTCACTGGATCTTATCTGCCAATCGGCTCCCCCTGCCTAGCCACTGATTTTATGAGACCCTTGGCACCCTGGCTGAGCCCAGCAGGTTCCTGGACAAGTTTGCTGCCCCAGGCCAAGGCAGTCAGGACCTGCCTCTCTTCCCCAATGCAGGAATCCAACCTTAAACCTGGCTTGCTTCAGGATGTTCTTTCATACTGAGTCTTGACCAAGCTTTAACCTCTGAGCCCAGTGCCCACCTCTTCCAGGAAGCCCTCTTTGCTTGCTCAGAGCTGCTGTGAGCTTTCTCTTCTCTGATTGCTCATAGCATGTGGGCAAGTCCAGAAGTTACTCATCTAGTCTGCACCTGACTCCCTCCACCAGGACACTGCTTCTCCCCTCTTTGTCGCCTTGTAAATGGGCCTAGATTGGGTGAGATACGCCTGTGGTGCCTTCGCACTGCTCCTAAGCCAAGTGGAGTTCCAGAGACCACACTGGGAATCAAAGATGCACTGAACCCAGGCAGGAGTGAATTTCAGCTCTGCCACTTTCTGGCTGGGTATCCTGGAACAAACTACCTTGCCTCTGTGCCTTGGTTTGTACTGTGAATTGGGGTCAGAAACATCTACCACAATAAGGTTCCTGAGTGGGTGAAGCAAAATTGTCCAAGTCCCCAGCCAGTCTGCTGTTCTCAGAGACATGCCTCTGTAAGCCCAGGGGGATGACGCCACATGCCCTACCCACTCCCAGCAAGGCTGGGGCTAGGAGCTTGGGGAGGAACAGCCAGCCTGTGTTGCTCTCCCTTGCTAAGGACCACCTGCATCTCCACTGCAGCCACCCTCTTGCCCCCACCTGCCTGACAAAGCAGAAGCTGAGCAGGACAGCGGCCTCCAACCTTGGCCACGAAACCCCTGGCTGCAGGAATCATAGCCCAAGGAGTAAAGAAGCCACCATAATACCCAGCTACATCCTTCCTGCCGATGTTCCAATTACCTGTGTCCCCAGACCTTGCTGTCCCCAGCATGCGGACTAATGTGCCCAAGGAATGTTCTAGCAGCCTGAGAAAGGGAAAGATGAGCCTGGCCCTCATGCCATGGGTTGGTGTGGGAAAGGCAAGGAAAAGGCTTTCTTCTGCCTGCAGGCCAAGGTCTCCTAGTGCACCGGGAATCTGAAGCAGAAGCCTAACTTCTTGCTACTGCTCATGGCACTCAGGTGCAGATGAAGGGCAGCTAGAGGGCCTCGGACCTCGGGGGTCTTTGGGGTGTGTGGAAGCTAGGAGCAAAGTTCTGGAGCCCCTCCCTGCTCACCTTCCTGTACACTCTGGGGCTCCTTCGTTTCCTCCCTGCCTCCTCCCCCAAGCTGGCCCGGGTCTTTTCCTCAACCTACTTTTTCCAGGCTTCTCTCCCTTGCCCACCTCTGTCCCTCCTCCCCCCTCTCACCTCTGTCTTTTCTCTCTCCCTCCCCCGCTGCCCACTTCACTCCCATCCCTACCTCCTCATCCTTCTCCTCTTCCCTATTTCTTTAATTTTATTTAATGTTCACCTCCTCCCATCCGCTTCCCCCAGAAGACATATTTAATGGCTATTAAATTATTTTAGACCAACTTTCTTAAAAAAGAGAGCGAGACTGGTGGGAGTGCTGAGTCAGGGCCATCGTGCTGTTTAATATTGAATATGCAATTAATAGAGAGATGTTTAGGTTTGGCTCTCTTCCCCCCCCCCCTTCTGCTGCAGGAAGAATAAAAGAGCAAGTGTCGGCGGTAGGAGATGGATGGGGGAAAGGAGATGAGCTAGCAACTTGGGTCGTGGAGCTCATGCGACTCAGGCAACTGGAGTGGGAAAGGGTTTGCATCAGAGTTCCCTGTGGCCTTCCTGGGAGAGGGCTTCGAGGCCCCATAGGGGTCTGGAGGAGAGGGGCTGTATGCAGACTTGCCTGCTCCCCTTGGCAGCCCTGTCCATGCCTCGCCCCTGTGTCTTCCCAGGCATGGTCCCTCCCCTCCATAGAGGTCACATGTGCCACCTCCTCTGAGACCACTGGCTACTCTGCCCTGGGGGATCTCCACTCTGGGACCTACTGCCTGCTCCTCAGTGCTTTTCCTCTGCCACTCTGTCCAGCCAGCGGCTGCAGGTGAGTGGCTGTGTGCCTGGGGGACCCACTGGGCCTGCCTGTTCGAGGCCATCTCCAGGAGACACTCCTCACTTGCCATGGGCTGGGCCCACCCAGCTCCCCCTTCCTTCCCCTGGACCCCGACTATTGCGATCCTCAGGCCTGGACCATGGGAAGCTGCAGCGAGGCCCTACCCTGCTCAGGAGAATCTGAGACCCTGCTCAGCAGGTGGCCTGAGCCAGAGGCCTTGTGTCTGGCTCTAGACCTTGACAGGGCCCAGGAGGCAGCAGCCTGGGCTGGAGGGGACCTCTCTGTTGTCCCTGTTGTCACATTCCCCCTGGACAAATGACACTCCAAGTTTGCAAATGGATTTTGTATATTTTGCCCTATGTCCTTCATTTCCTGGTAAACTCTCTGGGAAGAGGAAAGGTGAGAGACCACAGTGCCTGGCTAGTTAAGGGACAGGGAAGGCAAGCGGGCAGAGGGCCCTAAACCCCTCTCAGGCCCTCTCTGGAAGAAGAGTAGCCCAGCTCTCTCTGGAGTCAGACAGCTCTGGCCCAACCCCAAGGGTGCACTTAGGAGCAGCTGCCCTGCACCCCGTCCAGCCGCTATGTAACAGACATCCCGTGTGGGTCATCCCCCTACACACGGGCCCCCTTGCCTCCCCCTTCTCCATCCCCACTCCACACACACTCAGGGTCCTGACATTGGCTACCTGCCCAGAAGAGGCAGAACACACAGCCCACAGCTGAGGCCTGCTGCCTGCTGGGACAGCATCCTTCTCTCAGGGAGGCAGGCCAGGAAGGGGGAAGGGGAGGGTTGCTGTACGCCTTCCCTCCCTCACGCAAGGTGGGACAGGGGTGGCATGGGGTGTGCAGGGAAGCTCCGGGTAGACCTGCTGGTGTGTTCTTGACTGGCTCCTCCCCCTTAATTTCCTTCTGCACCACAACAGGTGTAGGCTCGGTCTAGGGGAGCCTAGGGACATGGCTGTGCCAAGGGTGAATTAGGTTACCCCAGAGATGAAGGGCCAGGGTGAGGGGTACAGCCTGGAGAGAACCGCCAGGGCAGCTGACACCTGTGGAGCCCACCCAAACCCTGTCCTTCCACGGCTGAGCTGCAAGGTGAGCTGGGTCCTCAGCTAGGCTCAGACACCTCAGGCCTGGCACTGGTAGGCTCTGCGTTCTTGAGGCGTGTGTTTGTCGAGTGAGGCCGGATTCTCTGTTCCCTGCCAGCCAGGGTGGTGGCCTCCCTCACCGATCCCAGCCCTGCTCTGTTTAGAATTGGCCTGGTCTTGTCACAATAGCCCAAGGGCAAGCTTGAGACCATTTCCTAAGTCTCCAGGCAGCGCCTTTTCAACTCCTGTAATAGCGAAGTTTCCTTGGTCACACAGAGATGGGCACCCACTTTGGGGGTGTTGCAGAGGGGCCAGAGCCACACTCCAGGCTGTTCTTGTTTTCTCAGAGAGACACGAACCCACCCAGCTCCCCCTTCCTTCCCTGTCCACACCAGTCATCCCAAGTTCTGCTCCCACCCCACCTCCTGCCCAACCACAAGGTTCCTGGGTGGTGGGGAGTGAGGAGCAGGAGGAGGCAGCAAGAGTCGCTGCACAGGGAGAAGGAAGAGGGGAGGAGGGGCAGAGACAAGTGGGCCCTCACGTGAAGGGGGCTGGCGCGGGCAGCTACTACCTCCTCGGCTCTCGCTGTCCGCCGGCTTCACCTGGATCGGCCGGTTCATCTGCAACAGAGAACAGGGGACAGCATTTCAGCAACCAGCAGCCAGCAGCCACGCTAACAGGTGCATAGATGTATGCAGGGCCACAGGCCACACCCATGCACCAAGATACAAACTCACACATCCTTGGGCAAACTCAACTGTTTCCCCAAGACTACACAGTCCCGGGTCGTCCCCCCCCCCCCCCTCCACACACACTTCAGGTGGTTTCTGGGGACGAAGGCCTTGTACCTCTACCCTACCATCATCACTGGCCCTGCCACCAGGAGCAGCCAATGCCAGCCTGCGATATCAGAATCCCAGACTGTTACCTCCCCGTATGCCCATGAGGTCTGTGTGTCCCACAGCGCACTCTTAGCACAGCCTTGGTTCACTCAGTCAGTTAGCCTGGAAATGATGTCTGGTTGCAGGCAGACCCTTGTCCAGACTGAGATGTGGCATTGAACTTCACTCCAGCCCATGCCTGCCATTTGGCAGACTTGGGCCTTGTCTGGAACACGGCTCAGGGAAGGGTTCTTGACTGCAACTAGGGGTGTCCCCTGGGGGTCTGCGTGTTGGGGGCACAGCTGGACACAGCTGGAGAACGCTAGAAACAGGCCTGCTTCCCTCACAAGGATCTGTGTCAATTCCATGTGCCAGCCACTAGAGGTCTCCGGACTCCAGGCATCCTGGACGCAGCCTGACTGCTCTCCCAAGCAGGCACCAGGGTGGGCTCCAAGGCTGAGGTTCCGATGTTTTTCAAACAATAAAAGCAAAAGGAATCTCAACAATGGAAGTGTATTCAACGACCTGCAGGTGCTTTGCTTTGATGCAGCCCCTCCTCACCGCTCCCCCACCTCATTGCCCTCCCAGACACAGACCCTGGGGCGGGCAGGGCAGGGCAGGAATAGACACGCCCATTTCAGGGATGGAGAAGCCAAGGCCCAAAGAGGAGCGTGTGCTTTCCGAGGCCAGCCAATGGCAGCCAGGCACAGGCTCGCAGCCCTGGTCTGCCAAGGCTATTTCTGCCCTTCCGTCCTGCACCATGAGGCTTTTTTGCTGCCAGTTCCCTCCTATCCACAGGCTGGACCAGCCGGTCACAAGCCTCCTCCCGCCTCCTGGCTGGGAGTGGAAGTGAGTTTTGTCTGCGTCAAGGCCACTGGGTGGGGGAGCGTGGGTGTCTGTGACTCAGCAAGGTGAGGACGAGGCCAGAGGAAGGGCAGAGCCACAGCAAGGAAGGGTGGAGACAGGAGGCATACAGAGCAGACGGAGGAGGAGGTACGGGCAGTCAGGGGGCCTGGCGTGCCTTGTGTGGGCTCTGGGTTGTGGATTAGGACAAACTCCATGCTCTGGGAGAAGGATGAGGAACTTCTGCATAAACCACACCTCCCCAGGCCTTGAGCCATGGGGCCGCAGGCCAGCTGCAGAAAGGCACCAGCCACACAAGCTCTCCTGTTCCTTGTTGCCTGGGAACTCAGCACCCCACCTTTTCCTTGCCTCCCAGAAATCTCCACTGTTCCTGGAGCCCAGCTCTCAGTGTGGCCACCGTGTGCTGGGCATTGCTGGTTTTGCTTGTGTGACATTGCATTCTGCCCATGAATAAACTATGGAGTATGGGAGTGGGGGACTGCAGTGAGACTGTGGCACCATGGTGAAAGGCCGTGCCATGCCTGATCTTTCTAGACTCTAGCTGCCTTGAAAGGAGAAGCCAGAGGAGAAAGCCAGTGGGAAAATGCCCAATGGGCGAATGCAGTTTGGGGTTAAGTTGGGAGGTCAAGACTCCCCACACTGGACTCTGACCCCTCTCGCACTATTGCCACATCCATCACATTCCTCTCCCAGCCATATTGGGCAAGTTGTACCTTGTCCTCCAGTCTTATCCTTTGAGCTGAGCCCCTGTGTCCCCACAGTTGTACGGTAAGGTCCTTGGTGTTGGTGAATCTTGAAATGGGCTCGCCACGGGAATAACAGGATGAATGCAGACATGAGGATGGCACATCGTGCCCTCCCACCCCCTCTCCACCATGAGGCTGGGTCCCTGACCCCTGTCATGAGGCTGGGAAGAGTAAGAGACCAAGGTGGGAGTGCACCTGTGCAGGCAGAGGGGCAGGACCCAGAGCCAGCTGGGCCCTGCTGCTCTGTCCCGGCTTGGTCCAAAGGTATGGAGATGAGAGAGAGGGAGTTGGGCACACAGAGAATAGGGTTTCATTCCCTTATGGGGTGATGCAAGGAGCAAGGCCAGAACCACCATCTTCAGGAGATGGCTGGGGGACTCCTTGGGACTGGCGGGCAATGAGTCCCATTATCAAAGGAGATCTCCCGGGTGTGGATCATCCTTTGCTGGATCACCCCCAGTCCACCAGCCTTGGTGCCCAGTGCACAGCAGGTTCTGTCTCTTGCTCCCCACTGTAGCCCTGGTGCACACCTTCCATGTCCAGGTTCCCTCCATGGCATGACGACACAGGGCCTCCTCACTCACCCACATACTCATGGCTTTCTGAAAGGCCAGAATCTGGGGGCACAGCCAGCTCCCGTCTTCCTCCAGCCTGTGGTCTGGGCACCCATGGATGTTCCAAGAAGACTTGTTCCTCTGAAATGGACTCATCCTGGGAGCATTTCCATACCCCAGTATGACATGAGAACAAGTCGATCTCCACGCAGCCTTGCAGGGCTGGTTGGAGAGGTGCTGGGTGGGACAGTAAGAGAAAACACAGCCGTGGGCTTCTGTCATTCCCAGCAGCACAGCATGGAGATTTCTGTTAGGACAGGCTCTGCATAGGCAGCTGGGGCCTGGCAGGAGACCTCCCTCTTGTCCCTTGTCCTGGTGCAGCCTGGCCAAGCGCTGCTTCTGCCTCAAGAGGGAGGACTGGACAGTATAATCAGCAAGAGGATGAGTAGAGGATTCTGGGAAGAATGAAAAGAGGAGGAAAGAGACAGGAAAGAAAAAGGGAGGACCAAAAGGGACAGCTGCCATCTCCTTGGCCTCCTTGTAACCTTGCCCTGGCTGTGGACACCCTCCAATGCCTTTGCAGTTGTGTCTCTCATTCCTTAGCCTGGTTTTGTGTTCAGCCAGTGTGCGGGATCCCAGGGGCGTGTGGCTGCTGGGAACTTGGACTGGGGTATAGGAGCCTTTCTACTCCTATCCCTTCTGAGATGTCCTCAGGGACCCCGTTGAGGCCCAGTGGTTTTTGGTCTGGCTGCTGCCTGCAGGTGCCTGATGGGTATTGGGAGCCAGGCCTCCTCTGGAGGCTCCTGGCCTCAGACCTCCTGGGACACCATCAACCTTTGTTGCCTGGACCCATCTCAGGGGGAGCAAAAGATTTGAGGCCATCTCTGCTCCCAACTCTGCCAGAGTGTGGCGGGCGGTGGTTCTTTGCCTGGCCCCTTATCCTCTGGATTTGCCCGTCTTCCCCTCCCCACCCCTCTGCCACTCTTTGCATCAACACATACCCATGCATTAAACAAGACATTCCATTAATTTCTTCATCATCATAACTTAAGCTGGGACATACCCTTTAAATATTCATTCAGCTATGAAAACTGGGCATTAAAATTTTAATAATGTCAAGCTCATTTGAACCAGGCTCCTTGGGGACGATTACGATACAATTAGAATAAACACGATGATGGAGCTGATTGGGGAGCTTCACCTGTCCAGCGTGGCTCCCTGTGGAAGGAGAGGCTTCAGGCCAGTGGGAGACGGACAGACAGACAGGCCTCCTCCCCCGGCTTGCATCTCCCCTCCCTCCCACCCTCTCTATTTCATGGTGTCTACTCTACCCTCCTAACCCTCTAACCACCTCATATCCCATCCCAGGACCAAGGTGCCAGTGCACCTCTCTCTAACCAGCAATCCCTGTTCTCCCCTAGCCCCTGGCAGTGCCAGGGACTCCTTTCCTGGTCCTCCTGCTCTGGGCTGGGATGACTGTGGGCCTCCTCTTCCCTGCCTGCAAGGAGCTCTCCATCCGACCAGGACCAGCTGGTGGAGGGGAGCCCTGATGGTTCTAGCATCTGTTACGCTCTGCCTGGCCCCCTTCTGTCCCTCCTGAGAGCTAGCATGGGGGGGGGCGGGTTAGAGTGGGCTTAAGCCAATGCTACCTTCCCTCAGGGCAGCTCTCACTGCACGGGATAGTGGGACCTTTGTGGGGAGCTGGAACCTTGGCCACCTGCCTCCCCAGGAACCAGTGTCTTGGTTTTGCGATGGCACACAGCACAGCCCATTCTGTGCTGTCATGGAAATCATGGGGCTGACTTTTCTCTCTGCATAGGCAGCTGGGGCCTGTACTCTGCACAGGCAGCTTCCTTGTACTCCTCACTGACCATCTAAACCCTCTTCTTTCTCAAAGGTCTACAGCCTTCGCTAAGCACCCATGATTGTCATACATAACCTGCGTTCTTCTTCTCTCTCCTCTCTTTCTCCCCCCCCCCTCTGTGTGTGTGTGTGTGTGTGTGTGTGTGTGTGTGAGAGAGAGAGAGAGAGAGAGAGAGAGAGAGAGAGAGAGAGAGAGAGAGAGAGAGACTGAGACTAGGAGATTCAGGTTTCTCAAGAAAAAGCAAGGACTTGGGTTCTTCAATCTCAGACTCCCAGCCCAACCTTAGCACAGAGTTTCCCTGGAGTGTGTGTGTGTGTGTGTGTGTGCGCGCGCGCACACACACACACATGCATGCTTGATTAGCACTGTGTGGCATCACAGGCATCTTCAAAGCATTTACTTTGAGCAGGGATGGAAGGGAGATGGGATTTAATGAGGCTTTGGAGAAAACGCCAAGACCAGTCACCTCTGGTTTCTAGCTGTGACCAGAAACGCCTTGGTCAGGTCTGCACCAGTGTCTGACTGATGCATGGTGCAAGGTGTGGACATGACACAGACATGGGACAGGTGGGTGGGATACAGCTGAAGTTCCTGTATCACCCACTGGCCTGCTTCAGGCCCAGGAGCTGAAACCCTTGTGGGACCTCTTGACACTGTAGCAGCACTCTGTGTCCTGCATCCTGGAAAGGCTCAGCTCTGCCTGAGCCAGGA